AGGATCGGTGCACTCCGGGGTCTCGAACGCGAAGGATCGGTGCACTCTAGGGTCTCGAACACGAAGGATCGGTGCACTCCAGGGTCTCGAACGCGAAGGATCGGTGCACCCTAGGTGTCCCGGCGCAAGATTTCGATGGACTGGTTGGCAACGAGACGCTCGAAAACCGAGACCGGGTGAGGCTTGAACTTCCTCATGGAAAACAATTAAAACCTAGAAAGAATGTCTCTTGACTCCATTCATTTTGAAGCCACCTCTCAACTTCGAAGTCAGTGGACTGGGAGATGGGGAGTCAGCTGAAACCTTATTTAGATTTTGGTGAGCTTCAATTTTTTTTGGGATTTCTCACCAAGAATTGAAGCTCAACTTTTTTCACATAAAGGATCAGGGCGCTGCTCTATAGATAGTCAATTGATTTTTTTCAGGGAACCAACATAGAAATCGATGGACTTTTGGTTGTGATATGTTGGGATCATCTTAAACTTCATAATGTCAGCGGCATTTTCTCTGGGTCAAGGAACCTGGCCTGACCGACCATGGCGGTGACGCCCTTTCGCGCAAAGGCTGAGGAGCGAGCCAAGCTCAAGGCCAATGAGTCTGAGAGCCCTGAACCTCCCAGCAAGCGAGTGTGCAACACATATGAGAAGCAGCTTGCCAAGCTGCCGAAAGGTGACCTTCAAACCGTGAAGGACATGGGTTCAGGAACAGTTACTGCAAAAAGAACCCTGTTAAGTGGATGGTGGAAAGATCTAGATTACCAAGTGAGTTTATAATTTTAGAAGAAATCAAGATTAATGATTGCCCACTATTTGGTCAGGACCTGCTGGACTACGTGTCTTCGTTCAGGGGGGAGTCTTCTGGCGCTCATCCAGCATCATTGATCAGTGAGCTCTACGGCGCTTCGGAGCATTCAAACATGCTGCACTGCCAGCAGATTGAGGGGTGGTACGCAGAGTACGCAAACACAGTGAGGAATATGCCCTACCTCTACAAGAAGCCTTCGCAGGTAGAAACTCAGATTACTTTTATACTTTTGCAATGGTTTTTGGTTATGGGAAAACAGTCAGTGAACTTAGTGGCAAAGAGATTCAATACAAAAGACAAGTTAGTGACTTAAAAGGAAATTGAATTTAGAATCAAGCTAAGGAGATTAATCCTTCAATGGCTGGTGAAGTTGTGAAGTTGCCCATCACTTGCCTTCGGTGGCACGGTTTGTGTTAGAGCAGTTTTGTTTTGTTCTGTTAGTTTTGTTAGTTTTTTGTTAGTTTTGTTAAACTATACTATATATACATATTATATATATTTAAAATATGATATATATATATTATATATTATATATATGTGCGCCCTTTGCTTTGTGTTCATATCTGAGGTTCAATCCACCAGAGGATGGAATTCCAGTATGTGAAGACTGGATTGGAACATTTGAATCGATGGTTCTAGGAGGCATTGAACTCCAACGTGAGCCATTGGACATCTCAATGATCCAGCAGCCAGGCTGGGTTCAAGTCCAACATTTGTGCACCCACCAAAAATGGCACGCTTGGGAATTTCCAGTATATTGTTCCTTCTGGCTGACTGCTGACCCTGCAGGTTCGTGGTTGATGGAGGCCCAAAGCGTTGACCAGGTGAAAGGTTGGACGCGATCTAGCGTCGTCATGTTGATATTGACAGCGGCATCGGAGCTGGACCTCAGCGACAGTCAGTCGGTTGAGAAGCTCAGACCCTTGTTTGGCTGCCTTGACAAAGCCTGGCTTCTTCCTTGCCATGTCTTTTGTCTTGATGTGATGGCAAAAGCTTTGCAACACATTTCAAGTTGATGAGTTGTTCTCTTACAAACATTTTGGGTCATGGTACCTTTGCTTTTGTTGCTCTTGGTGCAGCTGTAAGGTAGCGTTTGATCTGGGAGATGTGGATCGAAGCTTCAGGAACATGAGCCTGTCCTTTAGAGGATCAGAGAGGCAAGCTCCATCATCCCTCCAGCTAGCTCTCCGCTTCTCCCGCATCCTTGAGTCCAAGGCAACGAACGGGGAGCACCCGTCCGATTGGAACACTGAACAGCGCCTGACTGCTGTGGTCCAGGAGTTCAACGAGACCAGTGGGCTGCAGTCAAAGCACAGGATTGAGGATGATCGGTACAAGGCAGTGCTGAATCTTTTGACCGGAAGCTGTGAAGAATCTTGTCATTTTGAGACATGATTTTGAGATCCTTTGTCATTGGTTTTGATTGTTTGTTTTTTGGGTCATTCATTTGAACAAGCAACTCAAGATAGAATTTGTGTTGCCAAGGAATCCCGGACCATCATCCGACAACATCTTGATGCGCACAAGTGGCACCAGTCAGCCTTTTCGACAGAGCAGTTTAAAGGCGCCAGGTGGTTGCTGACTGCAGCGCCGAAGGCGGCAACATGCCCGGCTGATCTTCGGAAGTGCTTGACTGTGACCCCACAGTCGCAAGTGCTCCACTTATGCTTGGTCATCAAGACCTTCTTGGATGGCGGCCGCAGGTTGCGACCAAGCGCAAGGTCCAAGGCTAGATTGAGCTCATCTGAGTTTGACAAGCTTTGTGACTTCTCGTGCATCTACTCGTACATTTGGGGAGAAGCCAAGCTGCTCACTTCATGGACCCCGGAAAAAGATGCTGCGATGGAGAAAGCATTCTTTCAGAAGATCCCAAGCGAAGTTAATACATTTTAAGTTTTGTGACTTCACATTTTTGGGTTCAGAAGATCCCAAGCTTCTTCCATTTCCATCTCTGTTGGTTGTGTGGAAATCGCTGGCGGTGTCTTTGGGGTTTGGGCGTACCTTTTTCATTCAATTTCCTGCCCACCTCAGCCAAGGGACTATGCTGCAGACATTGAAGCGGCTGTGACAGCCAAGTTGTCCACATGGAAGCCTGAGCATTTGGCATTGTGGGTAGACCTGGTTGACGGGCCTAAGGCGCCGGCAGCAATTCCCACGCCAGCAGAGATGGTTGAAATTGAAGACCAGGCCCAGGCAGCGAAGTTTCGAGAGGTCCGGGCAAAGATCAGTCAGGATATCATGGATATGGCAGCCTACAATAGCAAGCAGGATGAGTCCAAGCGTCGCAGTCACGTGGTGACGGTGATGCACGAGAAATCCCAAGTGATGGTTGGCAAGCAGTTTCTTGTCTCAGGTTAACTTTCATCACACTGTGGTTCATTGTAAGATTATTGTAAGTGGTTCATTGTTTATTGTCTTGATGTTTTTGACCTGGATGAATTTCCTTTTGTGTGATTTCGCACTTTTGCTTCTGAATTACCAGCATCATTCCCAAAAATCCTTAAACCCATCAATATCGCTTTCAAGATTCAATCATTTCAAGAATCATGTGTCTTCAAGGCTGTGTGATGTCTTCATGGAGAAGCACTGCCGTGTTTCGATGTCCACCAAGAAGGATGGGTGCGACCTTGGACTTGATCAAGCCATTCGAGTGGCAGCTGCGCAAGCTAAGGCAAGGGTGGTTAGTTACTATTACTTTTTCTGGTGGCCAAATTTTCAACATACCACAACCCGATGATTGAAAGTTTGTTGTTGTTGTTGCTTGGCAGGTGGATGCGAAAGATGTCGACACCATCCTGTACTTTGACTGCCCCAAGCTTGGGGTCCTTTCACAGGCTGAGATCAACATGGTGGGTGACATGAGCGAGAAGGTTTTGGGCAAGAACCCCACTCGATCTGTCTTGGTTCTGATCCCTCCGCTTCTTGTGGGTACAGAGAGTGGCGGCAGCTTGCGATCCGATTTGAGGACCTGGGTGCATTAGCATCATTCCTTTTTTGAAACATCAGTCCATGTTTTGAAATGCTTGGTTCAAAGATTTTCCAAACATTTAAGGGTGATCTGCCTCCATGCAAAGGAAGCTGGAAGATAAGCTCCTGGCTTCACGCATCGAGATGAGGGCATTCACGCTCAATCTCGATTTGAGTGAGATCCACGGCAACCGAGATTTGCCAAGCGCATTCATCTGCTACTTGGGAGTTTGTGATGCAACATTACCCCTCAAGGGCACGGCCCACCGAAGCATCAGAGGTGCTCCCGCTCCGGATGATCGGACGAACGTGCTCCTTGAATTATTTGTTGATGAACATGTTGGTGTTTGTGTTCAAAGTGTGTATGTCGAGTTGACTTTGTAAATTGTCATGTTTGCTCCAACTTGTTGGGTTTGTTCTCACATGGGGTCAAATATGGTCAAATCAATTAGCTTTTCATAGCGCTTTTCCCTTGCCTCAGATCAGGTTCTGTGCAAGCCATCTTTGGACGCGGCAAAGCTTGCCGCTGGGCAAGTTTCCGAAGGCTTTGGAAGAAAAAGGATTCGTTGTTCCAGGAGAGGCCTTCTTGAGCCATGACACAAGACGGTCATTGACCGATTTGCAAGAAACCGCCCAGTGGATGGGAGGCCAAGCAGTTCCGGCCGCTCTTCTTGAAGCATTGACAGGCCAGGCTTCAAGTTGGCTCGTTGTATATACGTCATGCTTTAAGGGGCGTGCAATTTGCAAAAAACAGTGTTTCAAGTTTGTAAAGTTAAAACAGTGATATGGAAATCTGTGCGTTTAGTTGTTTGGGGTGAGGTGACCGCAAGAGCTTTTATGCTGCTGTTGTGGTGAATCCGACCACCTACGATGGCTGTCTTGAGTTGGCCGGAGTCAAGGGAGGCTACACGGTGCTTGCAAGTTCCGGCTACCACCCGGCTTACACCTGCAGCAAAGAGCTGGTCAAGACCCATCTGTTGGAGGCCTGATGTCTTCTAAATGTTGCTGGATGGTTTGGGTTGAATTGAATTGAATTGAATTGAAGGACAATTTCAATGAGTTGAATTTGCTTTCGGAGGACCATATTGAATGAAGGGCATTTAAATTTGAAGGATGTTGTTTACTGTGAAGTTTGTTTTTTTCTTGATTGGCGCAAGGCATGGAAGAATGGTCGAGCTCCCATGGCCAATGTCTTGCCACGCTATCGCAAAAACCCTCCAGCTGAAGAGCTTCCCTCCGACCCAGCGAAGCCTGAGATGCGGATCTGTCAGATCAGTGATGGGAAGCTGGTGGTTCCACGTGATGTGAGGCAGTGCTTCCTGACTTGCCCCATTTGGGGGCCAGAGTGGAGGCAGTTCCTCCAAGACTTCGACCGGGACTGGGGGGTGGCAATTCCATCATCCTCACCTCAGAAGCCGGCTTCAACTCCAACTCCAGAGAAGACTCTGGCCAAGCAGGAGGTGAAGGAGACCTCGGAAGAGTTTTGGGCCAAGCATTTCAAGGAGGATCCCAAGACAGTGGACGCCTTGAAGAGCAAGTTCGGAGATGACATCACTGAAATGGCAGGCGCTGATCAAGCCTCTTCCCTGATCCTCACTCCTGGACCGCAGCTGTACATCGCTGCAAAGGACGCCACGTGTCTTCAACTGTCGGCTACTGTGCCGCTGATCTCACATGGCGCAGGGACGTGGTTGCTCGGGGCCAAGGCGGACAAGTTCAAGTCCGAGAATCCCAACAAGGGAATACCATGCTCATGGAGCAGTGATGAGGTGCCTGTCATTGTCGAGGAGATTGCTTTTGCTTGCTTGAAAGTTGAAAGATTTCCCAATCAACTTTCTACAAGGTAAGCGTTTTCCAATTAATTTTCTGTGAGTTCATCAAATCAACTGTCCCTCTAGGAGGACAATACCGATGGCGAGGTTTGCACCCTGAGGGCTGCATTGCAGGCTTTCGAGACGAAGGGCCATGTGGACTACACCTTGGGCGGCCACAGCTGCGTACGCCCTCCTGGAGTGCAGCAGGGGAAGGAGGACGACAAGTTTAGCATCGCTCCTGATGCCAACAACACATTGGTTTGGAAGCCCAATGCTGTGAATGCCAAGAACATCAAGGCCGCTAACGTGGCATCGTGTTTTCCTTGGCCGGCCCTTGAGTCCTCTCCTCTTGAGGTTGTGGCTAAGTTTGTCTTTAGAAGATTTTGATTTGCTGTGTTGGCTTCAGTGCTTCCAATGCGTGCTAGAGTAAAACATATGGTCTTTCAGACACGCCTCAAGTGGCTTTCCAGGTGTGGCGATTGCGCTATTGGCCAAATGAGAAGTGCATCGCTGCTGCAAAGCCTCTATACTTCATGCCCATGGAGCTGACGCTGGCGAAGGGAGCTTGCCAGCGTGTTGTTTGAAGGCTAGGTTTCAAACTTGCGCTTCTTAAGTGAAGCCATTTTGGGTTGGGGCTGAAGCTGAAACAAGTCTTTCAGCTTATACTACAACGTAGTGATCAAATCTGCTTTGAACCTGTGATGACCGCGGGTGAGAGATCTTAGATCAGTTGCGAGACGGTGAGACAAATGAAGAATGCATTTGGTATCAGCATGTTACTTTTGAGAATTTAAGGACATATTGGTACTGTAAAGAATTGAAGAATTGATCTGAAACCCCTTCTGATCTCCCTGGTTGCTTGATTTGAGATTCACTTTTGGGAGCCATTTTGATCAGGGATCATTATATAGTGCTTGCTGCTTGCTTTTGCTTTTGTCGGCCGTGGACATGAGCATTCACACCCAGATCGTGCTTGAAGACAGTGAAGGTGAGCCTGGGCTCATGGAATATGAGGTGTCTGGATCTAGTGGCCACCAGGTCATTCCCAAGGATGATGGTGCTGAAAAGCGGAGCTTTCACACCATTCGTGATCCGGCACGTCCTGCCCCACCAGTTTTTGTGATTAATCGCGCACCTCCTGTTCTTGCTCAGCCAGTTGGAATTGGTGGTGATGATGCCCCAGATACGCCGCCTTTGTACTTTGGGTTTTCACTTCATTCAAATTTTGTTTGTGGTTGTCAATTTCCGAAGGTGACTCACTCACATCCAGTTGCCATAAGCCTCAGAGTAATACTATATATATCTATATATATATATCTATATCTATATATATATAGATACTATCAAACAACAAAACGTTCAATATGTTGGTTGTTTTTGAAAGCGTTTTCTGGGGGTTCTTCTTGTTGGGATAATTTTGTTTTTGGTGCTCTTTTCAATTCAGGGTGAAGCGAAGCCTCATCGACGCGCTGAACAACAGCATCAATTCCAAATCTGGAGATGAGACGATCACCCCTGAGCCTACTCTCCCACTGCCAAAAAAGAGAGTGAACACTTCGGGCATCGCCAACCTTGGTGGTCCTAGCCCACCACCAAAAAGAATGACCAGAATGAACACTTCGAACATGGAGGAAACGTCTGGTGGCCCATCAACTGAGATGATGGACACTTTGGCGAGTGCATTGGAGACTCACCCCACTGTGGAAGGTGCTCTTGACTCTATGGGGCTTGGTTTTCTTCATTTTGATCCTCGCGATTGCGAAGATTCCCAAGACCCAAACCAACATGCTCAGGAAGTGGGAGTGGAGGATGCAAAAAATACACCTTTGGGGAATTCTATTGAATATCCTTCGAATGCATCAGATCCGCCTCCTGCCACCCTCCCAAGTGAGACCTCTTGCCCTGCTACCCTCGAAGATCAGCGAAAGCGTGAGTTGCACCGTGAGTCCAGCCGGAAATGGCATGAAAAATATGTCAAAAAAGGTGTGCTGCGAACTCCCCCGGCTGAAAACTCAGCGCCTGCGGAGGAAGCGTCGTCCAGCAAGCCACTCTCCTCTTTGCAGAAGGCTCGCGACGAGTTCATTTCGTCATGGATCGAGCGTAGCGACATGCCGAAATCAAAAGAAAGGTTTCAGGCAGCGTGCAAAGCTTGGATGGACAGCAGCATCCGGGCTGATATCATTGCTGGACGTGCTGGAGTGCAGAAGTAAGTAACTCCAATGTAGGGCTAGTGTCTACGTTTATGGCAGTGAGACACAGTCCAATGAACCCAATACTTCCTCCTTCTTTGTTTTGTTTAGTAGGCCGTTGAGAACTCGCAAAGCATTCCAATACCTTGGAAAGCATGGCCAGCTATATATATATATATATGCTGCATCTCCAGCGTACGAAGTCCAATCTCTATCTTGTTGCGCTCTTGGGGATCACATGGATTCACAAACCATGTGCTTGGGAAAAATTGTCAGCTCGCAGGAGTGTCACGCTTGCTTCAAATAATCTGAAGTATATTTATTTAGCTTTACTTAGAATAAAGACCTGCCAGTCATGGCGACCCAACCTCAAAGATTCATGTTTCCTGATGTCATGACCAGAGAACCCCAAAAGACCATTCGCAAAAAACGATTCTCTTGGATTGACCCAGGCCCAGTCCTCTAAGACCATGCGCAAAGGCGAAGGTGCGCCCGACGCGAAAGGAAAACGAAAGGGTACAACTACAAACATGAAAGCTTCCAAACGTGAAAGTTTCCAAAAATTCCTGGAAGTGTCCAAAGAAATTCAATCCAAGGAGAAGTCAAGAAGGTTGTCAGAATCATGTTCTAAGTCTAACATGTGGTTCATCATGAACTTCAAGATCTAGTGCTACATGGCCAGATGCTTTGCCTGGCTTGAACGAGCGAAGCGTCCGGCCAGGCAATCACCGTCCGCACCCTGACCGCTCTGAACAAGAGCTCTGGAGTAGAGCTTCTGTGGATTACTAATCCACTAAAGATCAGAGTTTTTTAGTTCCAACTCCTCAAAGCAAGTGGTTCCTTTTTATGCGTGTAAAACACTATATAGTGTTAGGATCCCTTCTCAACCTTGTATTAAAAGCTGATGTTTCTTCTTTGCTAGTAAACAAGAGCTTGTAAGAGGTGCAAAGGATCACTTCACTTGCAGCCAGCGACCTCCCTGAGACGACAAACGTCTTGAGGTTACTACAGTAAGTGCAGCAAAACAGACATGCATGTGTGCCGCAAATCCATCAATTCATGAGTTGTGGTTTTCTCGGGGTTGGGTGTAAATATGTTATTTGTAAAGATGGTGTAGGCCATGCTGCAACAATCACACAGAGTACACATATGCTGTGTGCACATAAAAGGTCGACCATGTTTGAGAAACACGTCCATGTTTGCTAAACTGCAGATTATGCTTGCTAAGCTGCAGATCATGTTTGCAAGTTTGCAGGGTTCCCAGACCATGTTTGCTAAGCTGCAGGATCATGCTTGCAAGTTTGCCAGGCCCATGGCTTACTGAGCTGCAGGATCATGCTTGCAAGTTTGCGAGCCTCCATGGCTTACTGAGCTACAGGATCATGTTTTCCAAGGCAAGGTTTGGTAGCGGAGTAGGGGCCAAGTGCCACCAATAAGGGGCCAAATGCCACCAATGTAACTTGTTTGCAGGCGAGGCTCAAGAGTTTGCCCACACTCGCGCACCTCTGATGAAGGAAGCTGAAGTGAAGTCTTTGCTTAACAGCACCAAATGGATTCGATCCATGCGCATGACCCCCACAGAAATTACATTTGTGGACCGGCAGACATGACATTGGATACCACTACCGCTTGGAAGTTCTGTGGGCAAAAGGTCGGAACGCCGTGGAAATTTTCAGTAGTCCGGAGGCAGAACATTCCGCGAAGGATGTACAGCCAACCTTGTTGGACACCGCTCCGGAGCCGAATGCGCTGCAGTTCTCACCGAATGCGCTGCAGTTCTCACCGATTCGGATCAGTGACAGCCCCCTGTCGCACTCAAGCCAGACTGAACCGGCAACGTGTGCGGGCATGAAACGCCCGGCGGAACTGTCTCCAGTGGATCCAGAGTCGATGGGAGCAGAAGAGAAGCGAACAAAGCTATGGGAGCACATGCGCCGGCACAATCGGGTGGAAATCACGCGGAGCCCTTGAGCCTTTCCAGATCTATATCTCCTTAATTCGTGTCGAGACTCGTGTGAAGATACGTAGGTCTCGATTCAAGTCATGCATCTTTGCCAGCCTGTCAAAAAATGTGAGCGTGACATTTCCGGTGTTGAACGTTGTGCTGGGTTGCACGCATGTATGTTCGTTCTGCACGCCGCAGTTTTTCTTAGCCAGGGTAGTGTAGAAACATGAAAAAAAGGCGCCTCAACGCAGACGACCGACCGGCGCAGCAGTTCCATGCTCTGCGTCAGATTCGCAGTCTCACAGACACTGAGCGCCGGGAGGTTGTCGGCCTTCTCAATGAGAATGGGCACGGCGAGCGGACGTGCACTCGGATGCCTCAGAAGTATGGCAAACTGTTGGACGGTATACGGGATGTACACCTGCCAACGGTGGATGGAGCTATGATTCCGGCACCAGCATTATCCCTGCCAGTTCTAGTGCAAGCGAAAGCGGATAGTTGTCCTTTGTTCCGCGAAAATCTGGTAGGGGCAATGCTAGCGCGGAAGAATGAGCTGCGGCTCATTCTATACCTGGACGAAGTGATTGTGGGCAATCCATTACGACCCGATCCGAGTCGGAAGGCCATGATTGCGTACACAACCTTCTTAGATTTTCAAAGTCTTCACGACGAATCTTTGTGGTTGACCGTTGGGCTAGTCCGGCATGATGATATGCACGCCTGCGTGGGACGCTGCCCAGCTGTAGTCCGCCGCTGGCTGCAAGTTCTCCGAGAGGACACCGACTCTGGGTTTCCAGTAGTTATTGAGGGCAATAGTTCGCTGGTGTTCATTTCAGCAGTTGTTTTACTCGGAGATGTTGATCAACTGCGGAACACTTCGGGTTGGAAGGGACCC